CTGGGACAGGACCTGATTGGCCAGGATGGTGGCCAGTGCCCATCCTTTGGTGACCAGGGGCCAAGGTTTCTTGTAGGAATATGGCAGTTCCTTCTGCGATCACATGGTGGGGATAGAATGGGAAATCCAGAAGATGGGCAAACTGGAAAGATGGTCCCATAGGTGTCAACCACCAAGGCTTATTTTCATATTTATTTTCCATCTGTTGTCTCCCTTATAGCTGCTTCTTGCTTATACATTTACCCTATCATGACCTCTATACACCCAAATTCTTCCCTTTTTTTCATTCTATAATCCACTGATATTGCCTCAAACTCTGTCCCTCCAATAATCCCATGATTTCTACCCAAGGCCACTTCAGAAGCACTGATTGGCTTGGGAACTAGCTACTTCGTGGTGTAAAACCCATGCTGAGGAATCTGCTAGGGTAGCATTGGCTGTACCTTCTGCAGAGCTGTGGGCTGTAAACAGGAGAAACCCATTTTACCGAGACCTGGTGATGCTGTGGGCAGTGTCAAGGTCAGTGGTTCAAAACCACCAGCTCATCAAAGGGAAAAAGATGAGACTGCCTGTTCCCTTAAAGATGTACAGCTTCAGCAACCCTGAATCAGAATCAACTCAACGGCAGTGGGGTTTGCAGGGAAAGTGATTGAAAGGCTGCTCCCAGGCTTTCCCACCAAGCCTGTCTTCCACCCACTCCCCCGAGACCGTCACGGATGCTGTGTTGTGTGTCCAACTCCTGCTGAAACAGCTCCAAATGCACATGGCTTACACAATTAGAAGATGTGTTCTTGCTCACACAGCAGGTGGGAAACAAGCAGTCCACAGTAGATATGATGGCCTCCCTAAGTTCCTCCCCTAAGGGTGTTGGCCTTAGTTTTATGGTTCGAAAGGACCATCCCCTTGTTCCAGCCAGTGGGAAAGGAGAAGTGCACCCCCTGCCCTTGAGAGGCAGGAACTGGATTCTGCACGCATCCCTTCCTCTCACAGCCCTCAAGTTGGAGCGTATTGACGTGGTCACAGCAAGCTTCAAGGGGAGCTGGAAAGTGGAATCTCTCCTCTCATCACCAGCCCTGTGTACCACTAAAAGTTGGGGGTTCCGTTACTGAGGAGAAATGGAGGAACAGATGTTGAGGACAACCATATTTGACCCCTCTCCACCGTCCAGTTAGGCACTGCATCTTGGCACATCCCTATGTCGGATGCCTTTCTCATGGGCCTTCTCCATTACCCCCACTGTGGCCCCTGCAGACTGGGCTCCTATCTGTTTATGCTCGGTGTCTCGTGAGAATTGCCCATCTCATCCCCTTGCCTCAACTCTCAACCTCTCCAGTGCCCCGCAAGTTGTTTCAGCGATCATTCTAAAATGCAAAATCTGGGTCCACTGTTAAACATTTCTCAATGGCTCCCTACCTCCCATAGCACAGAGATTTTAACCACAGATTTCTAATAGCCCCCACAAAAACCAGATGTAAATTCTGCACTTTTCTGAAGTGAGCTTCAGATTCTCAAAGGGGTCTGTGATCCCACCTCGAAGTTAAACATAATCCCAAATTCCCAGTCTTGACAGACCATGCTCCTTAGGATGTCATGACTCCCAGCTCTCAAATCTCCTCTCCTGCACAAACCGGAGTCATTCTGAATTTCTCTCCATTCCCTGGACATGCCACATAGTTATGCCTACTGTTCCATCTGCATGGAAAAAGATCTTCCATTAAGAGTTCATCTTGGGGACTCTGTGGAGTAGATCCCGGTCTGATGGGGCTTCCTTCCATGAGTCAGATCGAGTTAGGGGCAGTGGGTTTGGTTCTATCTGGAATGCGCTGGCAAACTCCTTCATGGTGAAGGGGTAGCTCAAGAGCCACTTTCTCTGAGACGTCCCTGACTCTTCCCGGTCAAGTCCGTCTCCACAGCACTGTTCAGACCGATGTCACTCACCGCATTACAGACCATCCTAGCCTTTCCTCTCTTCTCCACCAAACCACACACTCTGGGACTCAGACCAGAGTGAATAGACATCCGCAAATGCTTGTTGGGTAGATGTCAGCATGCTCACAAACTCTGGAGTGCTCTTCGTAAAGAGTATGTCCGAGTATGGCTTTCCGTGTTCTTACTTCCACCAAGTCCAAACTTGTGACTGCGACTCTCTCTCTGGCATATACTCCTGCAAACTCCCCTTTCCTGCTCCAGGCGGCTGAACTTGTTGATACTCCAAATTAATGCTGTTTCTTGTCTGAGGGTTTTTTGTTTGGTTTTCCCTGAAGTTTTCTTTATATATATTTTTAACAAATCATTTTGTGGTGGGGGGCTCTTACAGCTCTTATAACAATCCATACAGCAATCGAGGGTTTTGCACATGCTCCTCCCTCTGCCTGGAAGATTCTACTCCTTCCTATTGCCTAGTCACTCCTATGTTTACTCCACAGATAGCCTAAATATCATTGCAGGAAGCTGAGGCCAAGTGCCCCACCTGTGCATCCCCATAGCTTCTGTATTGCCCCATTCCCCACATGCACCTCACTAGTCTTCTCTGCTCAACTGCTGACCTGACCCATCAGGACACACCGAATCCACAGCACAACACTTGGGAGTAAGCAAAAGCTCACTGCGATCATTCCCGCTCAAAGTGACCAGACAGGGCAGGTTAGAACCCGCCCCTTTGGGTTTCTGAGGCTTTTACATCTTTATAGGAATAGGCAGACTCGTCTTTCTCCCAGTGAGCAGCTAGTGGGCTTGAACCACTGACAATGAGGTTCGCAGCTCAATACGGACCCCACTATGCTGCAGGAGCTCCTTTTGGAAGTAAAGAAGTACCTAATAAATATGTGCTAAAAGAATGTTAGATAAATAAATTTCCCAACCTTAAATCTGATTTCCAATAGTTTTCCTTTGCTTTTAGACTAAAATGAACTTTCCTTATGTCTCCATTTCCTGGGGCTGCCATAGCAAAACAGCACCCAAGTGGCTTCTAAGAACAGAAGTGGATCATCTTACAGTCAGGAAGCTAGACAGTGAAAGCAAGGATTAGCCAGCAGACTCCTTCTGTGGGCTGAGACAGAGTGCTTCCCTGCCTCTCTCCCGCCTTCTGGTGGTTCCTCACAGAAACCCTCGGTGTGACTTGCCCCCCACACCTCCATCTGATTCCATCCTTACATGGATGCTCCTCCTCTGTGTGTATTTTCTTTTATCTAAGGACCCCAGTCATGTAGTACTAGAACCCACCCTACTCCAGCACAACCTTGTGTACTGATAATAACTTCAAAGACCCCAATTCTAACCAAGGTCACATCTACAACTACATGAGTATGGCTTCAACTGATCTTTTAGCGGGACACAATTTAATCCACTATCCCTTAGGATGGCTTCCAGGGCACCAAATGATATTGCCTCCATGGCTTTTCCGTTTTCTATCTTCCAGAGCCACCCTGTGATCTCAATGTCCTGTTCAAACCCTACACACCACTTGGAAGAAGGTTCCAACCTACCTGCTCTCCTGCCAGGACTGTTCTCTTTGCTTGGCACAGTCCTACCACCTCTCCTCATCTGTCACCCCTTTCTTTTCCTAACAAATATCCACTAATCTTTCCGATTTCAGTTCTGCTGCTGCTGCTTCCAGGAAACCTCCACTGACTTCTTAAGATCTGCACACGTAGAAAGAAAATGTTTTGAAAATGATGGCAACACATGCACAAATGAGTTTGATGTTTGGATTGTTATACGAGCTGGAAAAGCCTCCAATAAAATGATTTTTCAAAAGAAAAAAAGATCTGCTCGTGTCCCTTGGATGCCCCTCTTGTGCCTCTCTCTTCTGCCTTCCCAAGGTGGTGGTGAGGTCAGAGGCAGTACTGTGCGCATGATGTCTCCAGGGACCCATCACTTGTACACAGTGGGGACCCCATAAATGTGTGTGGGATGAACAATGGAGACTAGATGGATTCTTCGCCCTCATCCATGAATTCTATCTCTGTGAAGCACCGTGAAGGCAGGGAGGGGGACCAAACAGCTGAGGTCTCGTGCAAGGTCTGAGCTCAGTCCTAGAGCCCAGGAAGGCTACCTGGCATTGTCTGAAGGCTCTGCTTTGCCAGTCAGAGGGGTGTTGGTGGACGGTCCTAGAAGATGGGATTTGGGATCATGGTAACGCTAGATGTTGTTTTTGTAGAAGGGGCCAACGCTGTTTTCTAAAAGCTGGTGATGGGAGGGTATTAGGGCATCTGGCAGGAGCTCAACAGATAGCTGTTGAATTACTTTTAGAGCTGAGAGACAGCACTGGAAGTAGGTTGGGGAACGGTATGATGTGCTTGTTCATCTCGAGTCAGAGTTCAGACATCTCAATGGAACGGCACGGCCAAACAGGACGAGATATATGTGTTCATATCCCAAATCCAAGATTAAAAGAAACGTATTAATAATCATAGAAAGAAAATGGACAAGGAAAACCAGTTTGCCTTCTCTGGTAAATAAGCTGTTTGTAGTAGCTGGACTCAAATGAGAGGTGCTTGTTTGTTTTTAAGTAAAGCAACCTAATGAAAGGTTCCACTCTCTTGTGAGATGCAGAACCAGACCCTTTATTGGCAACATAAGTCATGGACCCCCATCCTGTTGTCTAGAAGCCTGACAGCCAACCAGATTTGTACTGCAAACACCCTAGGCCCAAGAGCAGAAAAAAAAAATGCAAGAAAATGTGGAGGCAGATGACCAAGAGACAGTATTTTAATAGACAAACAGTAAGGATAAGTCAGAGCCTTGCTACTCAGTATGTGGTCCTGGCCCAGCAGCCCGGCAGGTGAGAAATGCAAAACCAGATCCCCACCAGCACTGCTGACTTCTAATAGGACCCCACAGGAGCAGTTGAGAAGCGCGGGGCTAGAGCATTTATTAATGTAGCGGTTTGCTCTTCCTTGGGGTTGGGGGCCAAAATGAAGCCGCTGAAAGCACTTCCAGCTCAATGCGTGCTTCGTGGTCTGCACCCCCACCCCACCCCACCCCACCCCCTCCCGGCAGCATCGCACGTGTCAGGGCTGGAGCCTTCAGGCTCACGGGGCATCAAGATTTCCGGGACGGCCGGCCTGTCGGGATTACAGCAGCTCCTCCTTGGGCACCAGCCCCAGCAGGTAGTCGTGGGATGATTTCTGTTCTCAGACGTGCCGGCATCTCAGCCAACGAAGAGGACTCAAGCTTTGGTCTCCAAACTTGCTTCTAGACGGGGCCTCCCACAGGCGAGCTGAAGAACAGATTCCTACATGCTGTGGGGGCTACTGATATGAGCCATGCCCAGCAGGACCCCAGGGAAGACGGACGTTTAAGGAAGACTTTCCAATGGGGCCAGATATAAGCCCAAGGCAAGCCCTTCCCTTCCCTGTCTAGTCCCAGACTCCCACTGCGGCCAGGCGGGCCAGAAAGCTAGTATTCAGACACCGGGCATGGGATCTATGTGCCCCTAACACACCGCCGTTGAGCCGACGCCGACTCGTGGGGACCCAAGAGGACAGGGCAGACTGACTGCCCCCTGCGGGTTTGAGACTGGAACTCTTTACAGGAGTAGAAAGCCCAGTCTTTCTCCTGAGGAGCCCCTGGTGGTTTCGAACTGCAGACCTTGTAGATAGTTGCTCCAGGGTGCTGTGGAAGGTGACGACCAGGGACTGCCATGAGGGTGTGGCGGTGGCTTCAGGTGACAGTTCCTCAGCCCTAGAAAGCAGCTCACGGCTTCATTTGTTTTGCGGGCCACGTTGGAACAGCAGATAGAACCGGACTCTGCGTCCAGGCCTTGCGGCGTGCTTCACTGGCCTGGATTTCTCAAAGGAACACGTCCACGTGGCACTTTCTCCAAATGGTCAAGACTGTACAGTTGGCCCTAACGCCAGTGCGCTTTTCTGAACTCAAGATTTCTCTAGCAACCCCATCTAACCAAGCCCCCCAGGGGGCTTGTTCCGTTTCACCACCATGGGATTTTTTTCGCAGGGTCTACTAGAAAATGATTTCTTCTACCCCTCCTCCATCCTTTCTAGACATGCATATTCAATGTCACATACTTGTATATAATGGATGAAAAAGACAAACAAAAGAGGACGGTGCACTTTAAAATTCCAGGTAAAAAGTATTGCTTTCTAACCCGCTCCTGCCTGCCCAGCTTGCTACTTGGTACGACAGAGGGTACAGTCTGGAGGAATTCAAGTCTGAAGATGTCCGGGCGCTGCAGATGACACCGATGCACGCCGCACCTTGTTCCCAGCTCTGCAGCCCCTGTCGGTTCAGGGCTCGGCCTTGGGCAACACTACAAAGCCTCCTAATAAGCGAAAGTATACAACAGGAATGGAGGTGCATATTTGACATAGTTCCTGCTCTGGAGGGGCGGCCCTCTGGCTACGATCCCTGCCCTCTCCAGGGGGGTCAGAGGAGCCCACATGAAGGGGCCTTTTGTTTCCTGGAGCCCCTAGGGCCCGAGTGACCTGTCCTGCTCCGCGTGGGCCTGCAGCAGCCCTGCAATTTCCACATGGGCGGGGGCCTCCAGGACGATGGACAAAGCTGTGCGGCCCGCCTACGGGAGAAAAAGAGAATGAGACATCAGGTTTACCCCATCCACCTCGAAAACCCAATCCTGGCTACTGGGTTGGGGGGCATTCGTGAGAAGGAGACAGAAGGAAGCAGGGGTCACGGGGCTATTTCCCAGACTCCCAGAGAGCTTAAAAAACAAGAAGGTGCAAGTGGCAGGAAGATCATGGGAGATGAGGGCCCCCTCCACAGCCTTCTCCTGGGAAATGTGTGTCATTTTGCTTTTAAAATCCCTTAAGAAACAAACAAACAAACTAGAAAGCAGAATAAATAAAATAAATCTTCCATTACATAAAACTAAAAGTGGAAGCATGTTGATGTGCTTCTCTCTGGTCTTCTTCCTGTGCAACGTTACTGCTGTTTTTAAACAGAAGAACGAGAGTATTTATCATTTTGAATCTGTTTCTTTTTAAGGGACCATAATATGCTGTGAGACTTTCCCTTTTGTTTCTGTAACAGTCGGTACAACACATGGCGTGTAAACAATGGCCACATAAACCAGTTGTCAGTTGTCATTGAGTGGCTCCTGACTCACGGTGACCTCTGTGTGTCAGGGTGGAACTGCACTGCACTGCACTGCGTTGTCAAAGGCTGGTCTTGTTTCTTTCTTTCAGCAGTGGATCACCAGGCTTTTCTTCTGAGGCACCTCTGGTGAACTCAACCCTCCACTCTGTTCCTTAACAGCACCATTCAGAGACCCCATTGACGCTATAATATCCCCAAATTTACCGAGCTGCTTCCCTTCTGTTGTGAAGGCAGAGACTTACAAATAAATTGTTTCCATAAAAATTGGTGCAATAGTATTTTCCCATTTTTAATTATTTCCTAAGGACCCACTCTCAGAACAGGGATCTGAAGGTAACTCATATTGTTGCTTCCAAACTAGAGTGTCAAACCTGTTTGGAGAGTTACGGCTGATAAAGCAAACTTGGACGAGACCTGAATTCCAGGGCTGCACCTGTAACCTTCCCCATTCCAGCTCTTACCCCCAACTCACTGCCATTGAGCTAATTCTGACTCAGAGTGACACGACAGGACAGAGAGAACTGCCCCTGTGGGTTTCTGAGGCTACATTTCTATGGAGTAGAAAGCGGAGCTGCGGGTGGTTTTGAAATGCACACGTTGTGGTCAGCAGACCATCCTGTAATTCACTACACCACCAGCGCAGTTTACCCCGAATTTAAAAAGTCACGTCTGTTCCATTGTTGCTTGCTCTATATCGGTCTCCAGCTCTGTTCTGGATGCTGGGTGCCATTAAAAAAATCAAACTCGCCAAGTCAATTTTCACAGGAGCAGAAAACCTCATCCTCTTCCTGCGCAGCGGCTGGGGATTTTGAACCGCAGACCTGAGGCTAACGTGCCCAATTGTAACCCGCTGTGCACCTCCCTTGAAACCATACAAACCCTCGGACCGTGGCAGCAGTGCAGGGGCCACCCTCCAGCTGCCGAAAAAGCTGCGCTCCAAAGGGCTGTCCACATTAGCCACTCTCTGTTCAGAGGTGGGGGCAGGCCCACCTGAGACCAGAGGACGCACCTGTGAACGCTGACCTCCATGAGGGCAGTGCAGGCTCTTAAGCAGGGGTCCTCACACTTTTTAAACAGGGGGCCAGTTCACTGTCCCTCAGACCGCTGGAGGGCCGGACTATACGTTAAAAAACTATGAACAAATTCCTATGCACACTGGACAAGTCAGCTGCTAAGCAGGACAGGCAGCGGCGACAAAAGCACCCGGCGGGCCGGATAAATGTCCTCAGCGGGCCGCAGTTTGAGAATGCCTGCTCTTAAGTCTCAAGAGTTCTGATACCTAAATAGCTCAGAAACCCAGACTTTTCTGCTAACTCATTGGAGGGAAAAATCCAACCAGAAGGGATCTAGCCATGCAACTTGAGCGATGATTCTGCTGCAGCAGTGTTAGTGGGGTGACTGGGGAGGCACCCAGGATCCCATTAGATTGCTCTCTACAGATTACAAGCAAACTCGCGGTCCCAAAATGTGAAATGTTCTTTCACACGAGCCAGTGGGAAGGATTAGCAAACCCAAACCAGAAAACAAACCCTCGGTGCCATTGTGTCAATCACGACTCTCCACGGCCCTACAGGACAGGGCAAACTGCAGCTGTGGGTTTCAGAGACTGCAGCTCTTTATAGGAGTACAAAGCCTCCGCTTTCTCCCACTGGGCAGCTGTTGGTTTCAAACTGCTGGCCTTGGGGTTAGCAGCCCAACGGGTAAGCCATTCATTGGAGGGAAGTGTTAGCACACAGCTTCAGCCTGTTCTCTGTGCACCAGGGCAGAACCCAGCTACCTCGGAGTTCCCTCCGCATGACCATTCTGTCAGTCACCATGACGCTGGGTGCTGAAGCGTCCAGCTCACGGGGACCCTGTGTGTGATGAACACACAGAACGGCTCCACTGGGTCTCCCTGGTGGTAATCTTTGTGGGAGCAGGAGTCGCTGGGTGGGTTCAATCCATCAACCTTTTGGTTCGCAGTCCAGTACTTACCCATTGAGCCCCCGGGGCTCCTGTAACTATAGCACATGATAAAAAGCCACATGAGCAGGGAGCGAGGGCTCCACGCTCGGTGCTGGCAGGGAGTGGAGAAGGAAGGGGAGAGTCGGAAGCTGGGCTGGGTACCAGGAAGCACGGGCAACAGAGGCTCGCCAGGCTCCCAGTCAGAAACAGCACAGTTGAAAAGACTTGGCTTCTCTGGGATGGTGCTTTGGGATTGGGACAGAAAAGATGCCAGCCAGGTTTAGAAGCAGAGTCTTTGCTGTGGTGGGAGCGGGGAAAAAGTGCAACTTTTCCCTATGGATTGGTAAGTAAGCACAAGCAAGCCCCTGGGGACTCGCTGGTTAGGTAATGTGACACTGCCCTGGAGAACGCCCAGGGTTCTTTCTCTGAAAAGTCCTCATGCCATGGCCTCCTTTGCTATGACCACCGTGTATAACTGGCTACTCGTGGGCTTGTCCGCAGAAGACGGGGCTCCCAGAGGGCAGGAGCTCCAGCTGAGCTCCGGAGAACTCCCAGCCCCGGCCGCTGCCCAGCCTGCGGACCCCATTCAGAAAGCATGGTGGAGAGAGAGAAGGCAGGAGTGAGAGATAAGAGTATTCATTTCAATTTGATGAAGAAATTGAGCAACCTACGTCTTAAGGAGGACTTTCCTAGCCGGGGCCAGCCTGGAACCAACCGGAGGCTTGAAGCAGGCCATTTAGTAAGAGCCCCCGCCCGCAGAGGAGAGCCCAGCACTTCCGGCCTGTGCTCCCCCACTGCATTCCAGGGCAGGGCAGGGTTTTGTCAGCTCTGAGGTACTAGGTCAACATGCAGTGTGTGGTCACCCTCTGGACGGTAAGGAGCCTCAGGCCTGGCCCTGTGGACTCATGAGTCTTTTTACAGGGCCCAGAAGGACACAAGAGCCAGCATCTGTGTGCTCCTCGGCTGCACACAAGAGCCAGCCAGGGACCCCACCCAGCTCAGGAAGTGTGACCAGAGAGACCACCTGGGGTGGGTGGGTAAGCACAGGTGCCTCTCCCAGAGCCCTGGGAACAAGCAAGTGCCAAGTAGGTCCAGGGGAGCCAGGCACTTTATGTCGCTGGGTAAAGGGACCTTAATTTTGTGAGCAGTGAAGTGTGTGTGTGTGTGTGTGTGTGTGTGTAGGAGGGATGTGTTTCAATTCAACTATAACTAATCAAGAACCCACTATGTATCGTGCAAAAGCATAGTCTGCCTTCAAAGGGCCAGTTCCCGGTGGAAAGGCTGGAGTTCCCATGTGGTCCAGTTAACGAACACAAAGCAGCCTAGCAAAAGGTTGGCAGTTCAAGTCTACACAGAGGCACCTCAGAAGACAGGCCTGGTGATCTAATTCTAAAAACTCAGCCACTGGAAGCCTTAGAGAGCACAGCTCCATTCTGACATCCAATGGAGTGCCAGGAGTTGGGATTGCTTCAACGACAGCTAGTCTATTTCGGCTGGAGAAAGTGCCAACATGAGTCTGTTCCCACTACTACCTCCCTGTCCCACTTGCTCTGGCCGCCCCAAAGTGCTGGGTGGCCAACTTCCTTGGACTGCTTTCTTAAACGTCAGGGAAAAGCTTGGCTGGTTGGCCTGGGCCTTCTGTATCCACTACTCTATCGAGCTTTAAATGTTGGTACAAGAGAAACAAGTTTCAGGACCTAAATTCTCAGTCTTTCTAGGGAATTCCCAAATTCCCTAACATCTCACACTCATTGCCATTGAGTGGATTCTGAGTCACAGCCCTCTTGTAGGACGGGGTGGAATTGCCTCTGTGGGTGTCCAAGATTGACTCTTTACAGGAATACAAAGCCTCATCTTTCTCCCGTGGCGTGGCCGGTGGTTTCAAACTATTGACCTTTTGGTTAGCAACCCAATGGATGACCACTGCCACCAGGACTCCAGTTTTCTCCTCTAGCCCACTAAAGCGGCTCACCTCATGGATAGAGACTGGGCTCACTCAAGTCACCTTCTCCCCAGTGATAAAGGAGGCTTTCAAATCCTGAATCAACCACAGCCCAGGAAGAGAGCGTGTGATTGGGCCATAGGTGGAGTCTGGGGCTCACCTACGCTGTTGCCCACATTTCCTGAATAGCCCGTGCTCACAATTTCAACAGACAGGAATGTCTCCAGACATAGTCAGCTGGGGCCCAGGACCATGCAGCCTTAGTAGTGCAACCAGGGATTAAGCACTTGGGTGTTAACCAAAAGGTTGGCGGTTCAAATCCACTCAGAGGCTCTGCAGAAGAAAGACCTGGTGATCCACTTCCATAAGGATTGTAGCCAAGGAAACCCTATGGGACAGTTCTACTCTGTTGCATGAGGTCACGAGGTGTTGGGATGGACTCAGTAGCACCCAACAATCCACCACTGGGGCGGGGGGCAGAATTGCCTCTGGTGAGAGCCACTGGACTAAGCCGAGGATGCCAGCCAGTTGGCGTCTCAGAATATGTGTCGCCACTAACTCCATCCAGACACTACCAACAAAGTCTCAGTGCTGTGGGAGGGGGGGTGTAGCTATCACTGTTCAAGTATTCATATAAATATCAGTCACCATCGATTGAATACCTCCTAGAGCTCAAGCAAGACCATTTGGAAGATACTACCGTATTCCCATGTTTAACTGCGCCCATTTTACAGATGGGCCTACAGAGGCTCAGAGGGGTTCGCTGACCAGCCCAAGGGCACACAGTGATTGAGCCCAGATTCAAACTCGAGTGTTTAATTTTGAAGTCCATGCTTCCAACAATCACGTTTGCATTGTCCAAAGGGAAACAGGGGACTCTCCCATGGTTCTTTCGTCGGTTCCTCAAAGACGCCGCCTAGCTCTCTCACATCCAAGAACAAGCCTCCAAGAGGCACCCAGGAGATGCTCTCTGACTAAGGTGACCAGATTTTAACATTGGTAAAGTAGGACACCATTGATAAAACTCATATCCTGGCGAAAAAGCCACACGGCAGCCGAAAACCGTATACCCTAGCTTGTCGTGCATTCTTTCCAAAAATTGGGACTTCTTTAAAACGCTGTGGGATGCGGGAAAATTTGTTAAAAATTGGGACTGTCGTGCCAAAAGCGGGTAGTCTGGCCACCTTATCTCTGATTTTTGTGATTACCCCAGCTAACCAGGGACTTTCCCAAGCTGGATCCCCTCCCTGCCCACCCCGGCCCCTGCCAGGCCTTCCAGGGTGCCTTTGAAGCTCAGGCCTGTTCCAGATTACAAGCTGCCCCTCCCCGCAGGGCACTCATTAAGAGATCCTTTGCTTGGCATTTGTTTGCGGAAAGGAAGGCCCTGATTTCCTGCAGCCCACCACCATTCCCATATGAATTTCAAGGGGTCTGAGTGCTCTAATTACCCCAGAAAGGGCTCTGGGGCAGAGCTGGGATGCATGGGACCTGAAGACATCAGTCCGGGATGCCTGGTTTCCGGGCTGTGGAGGACCCAGTAGCGTGAAGCACTGATTGAAAAAGGCTCGGGCTGGTCAGATGTGGCTTGGAAGAGGGGCTCTCCCTGGGCAGGCTGGGGGTTCTCTTCTCCCCAGGCTTGTGTTTCCTTTGAACTATGGATGTCAAAAGAGAATAGAGAAGACTGCTGAAAACACTGAATTACTGCGCCAGTGGTAAGGACCCTGGAGTCAGACCAGCTATGAAGTCCTGAACATGAGGCTCACAGGGGCTCGTCCCTGAGTACTGGGAAGGTTGAGGGAGTCCACTGTAACGATGGGAGCAGAGCCCCGGTGGTGTGATGAGTTAAGTACTGGGCTGCCAACCACAAGTTGGACGGTCTGAACCCCCTGGCTGCTCCTAGGGGGGAAAATGGGGCTGCCATTGTACTCACCATTGTAATCATCACTGTGAGCTGACCAGGACAGTTACTGAAGAAGCTCACAGAAGTAATGCAACTGCCAGCAGGCTCACTTCAGGCACCAGGGGCCACTCTGTAAAGTGGATCACCAATGGCAAGGGGACAGAATTCGCCCCTGGTTCCCTTCTCTGGTTTTCCAGGAGCCCCCACCAGCCAGCAAAGATCCCCCTGCCCAAGATGTTGCCTCAGAGCTGCATGGCAATACCAGGGGCCCTCAAACTTTTTAAACAGGGGGCCAGTTCACTGTCCCTCTGACCCGTTGGAGGGCCGGACTATAGTTTAAAAAAAAACCAACTATGAACAAATTCCTATGCACACTGCACATATCTTATTTTGAAGTCAAAAAATCACACGGGGCAAAAACACCGGGTGGGCCAGATAAATGTCCTTGGTGGGCCGCATGTGACCCGCGGGCCGTGGTTTGAGGACCCCTGCAATAAGCTGTGGCAGAGGAGGCTCTGGGTTCTGGCCAGGATGGAGGTGTCAAAGGCTAGGAGCTGGGGCTCTCCAGCTCTACGGCTTCCAGAGCTTACTGTGCACCATCTCGTGAAACACACCGAACAACCTCAGGAGGCTGATTCTGTTGCCACTAATTCTGGCGGTTCCCTGAATTCTGGCAAGTACCGGAAGTTCAGTGCCTACTTGGTAATTGTCTCTTAAGTCTCACCTTGTCCGTCAGGCTGCTGTTGCAAGCTGGATGTGCCAGAAGCAGCCGCACCATGTCTGCGTTGCTGTGGTGACAGGCCAGCATGAGGGCCGAGGATCCTTCTTGGTCCTGCAGGTTGATGTCTGCCTGGCAGCTGAGCAGTGCCTGGACCATGTCCTCTCTGTCATGGCTCACGCCCAGCATCAGCGCCGTCTGGCCTCCCTGCATACAGACCCCAGAGGTGAAACCTGCTCCCACCAGCGAAGAAGTCCCAAGAAAATGGCCTTTGATCTGAATTCCCCTGTGAGCCTGGCTGAGGGTGTATCCCTCTCTGCCTGCAAACTTCTAGTCTCCCATCAAGTCCCGGGGCAACCTCCTCTAAAGCCTTCCCTAACTGCCTGGCACAGGGTTCTTACCTCAGCCCAGCGCTTGCCAGTTGGCCCTGCAACCTGCCGCTGGCTCTCCTTCTGTGAACTGTGAACTTTTTGATGGACCGGAGCTGTCTGTTTCATCTGTGGCCCCGAGTGGCCCAGCCCGGAGTAGGAGTACATGCTGCTAAGAACTGCAGGATGGAACAGCCGGAGGACTGAGGGCTCCAGCGCCTGTCTCTTTCTCAGGCCGAAGTCCTGCTCAGTGAATCAGCAGCTGCGTCCTTAGGGCAGATATGGAGCCTCTGCGGTCCTAGGTTTCCGTATCAGTAAAATGGGGCTCACCGTATCCACTGATTCTTGTGCTCCACCAGGGCCGGCCTGCTCTGAATGCCTCTGGGATATTCACAGCTCATCATCTTATCTTTTTACAATTGTGGAGACTGTTTAATGAGACCCAATGGGCTCTTGTCTCAACAAGATGGCTGTTTGCATTTCCTTGTGGTCATTTCTAATTTGTCTCCATCAGCAGAGCCATGGAGTAGAGTTACAAAGCTAGGCCCAGGTTCTAGTTCAAGTTCTGCTGTGCCTTCCCTGAATGGTGATGTTGTTTTTCTTAGTCTATAATTAGCTTAATTTAATACTAATGATCGGTCTTGTGGACCTCACAAAGCTTGGGGACTCACTGCCACCAAGTCGTTTCTGACTCAGAGGGACCTTATAGGACAGGGTGGAACTGCCGGCGGGGTTCCCAAGACTGGGACTTTTTACAGAATAGAAAGCCTCATCTTTCTTCCAAGTAGCAGCTGGTAGTTTTGTACTCCTGACCCTGAGATGAGCAGCCCAGTGCGTGACTGTTATGCCAGCAGGGTTTCCAGAACTTTGGTAGGAATCAAAGGAAGTCTGTCGCGATGTCCAGCAGTAATTTTCCTGAGTACAAACTGAGCATCTCTTCTCGTTTCTCGTGGATTGTTCCCGTATGTGTACGCAGCGCTCCCATAGGACTCTCTGCGTGCTGTCCTCGGGCGTCGCTTGGTCCCAGGCAAGCCAAGCGTCTCTCTGACTGGACAAGAGGCTCTGGTCGGTTTTAAGAACAAGGTCTGAGCTCGCCTTCCTTCTTTCAGACCCCCGTGGCTCCGAGCACAATGTCCTAGGCACACAAAAGTGCTGGGGACCTGTTTGCTGGTGTGTTAACTGCTTAGAGCTCCACTCCACAGTCACCAAAGGATTAAGTTTCCTGGCCCAGAATACGGAGCCTTAGAGAAGAGAAAGGGTGTCGAGATCAGAAACATCCTGCCTTTCCCACTTCCTAGCTTTGTAAATGTGGGCAAGTCAGCCTCCCTGTGACTTTTCCTGATTGGGTAAAATAGGAAGGCTTGAGGAGATGACCTATCTCATAGGGTTGTGTGAGAATTGGATGAATTAACAGACACCGAAGAGCTTGCCAGTGCTAGGCAAGTGTGCGTATGATGATCAGGATGATTAGAGATACTACATGACACACGCTGGGCTCATCGGCGGTGCTCGTTCCTACATGGGACTGTGCTCATAGTAGTAGCTGTCCTTAACTCTCCATTTCTCTGGGACCCTGACAGCTCTTTCCAGAGACGCTTGTTTACTTTTTAGCCTGCTCTTACTCGGCTCAGAAAGAATGGTTGTTTACTGGACTAACCAGAGAAGTAGGTTTCCATCCAGGCCCCGCATTGCAAGTGTTATTAAGGCCAGATGATGCATCCAGATTGTGCTCAGTGTCTGCCCTTCTGCCGGACTCCACGCCCCTTCCTCCCTTGCCTCCCTCCTGGTTCGGTTCAATACAATTTAATTCAATGATCACAGACAGCGAGCTGCCGTATGCCCAGTCCTTCACTAGCCCTGGAGACAGAGCACAAAGTACCCAATCCCCAGAAGTCTCCCAGATTCCTATTCACCCCCCGGTTAAGTTGGTACCCTGACTTCTCATAGTACAAGGCCCCTGAGGGTAGCTGAAGGGAGCAGCTACAGCTACATAGTTCTACTTCTCCCTCGGGGATCAGGGACAAGCCCCTTACCCTCTTACTGTATCAGTTTCCTCCTTTGGAAAAGGAAAGAGGGGGCTGCTTTTCATCGCTAGTGAGCATCTTCTCTTATAAGGAGTCAACTTTAGGAAAAAAATGAACATATTTATAGGAACACATATGAAAATAAAATCAACCAGATATGGGATGTGGATAGGTGAGAATACTCCATACTCTGATAACTAGTGGGTGATCTATAAATGTCTGTTTCTCACGACCAGTAGATTGTTACTAGCTGGAGCAAAAAGTGACGCTGTCATCATCCGTCATCGTTTTGGGTTGGGGGAGGCATGAGGGGTGGGGAGTGGCATGGATAATAACATATCTTCCATGGGTCTCTTGCCTTCTCCATGTCCTATGAGGGAGGCATGCTTGTTCCAGTCTCTTTACAAGGATGCTTGTACAGGGAATAGCCTTGGAGGAGGGAGCTAGTGTTTCCCTCCAGAACAGCAGGCAGGTATGCTTCTCGTCCATCATAAAAGATCCAGGTTCCTTCGACTCCGTGCTCCTCTCCTGGAACAATATCCACTTCGTGTGGGGTCTCATCTGGTCCACTTCACACTGCCCTGTGTGAACCCGAGTCTGGGAAGCTGGTACGAAGGCGGTCGCAGAGACTGCTGCTACTGCTATTGCTGTGAAGAATAACCCAGCCTTTGTCCTCTATTTCACATCTCTGCCAACATCCAGGCTACCTCAGGAGCTTGAAGGTAAAGTAAATGTTCACCCCTCCACAGATGCGGAAAGTGTGGCAACCAGGAGAAGGAGAGCTAGGTCTTGTGTTGGTCACAGCTAGTCGGCGCCCTTGAAGGAGTTGCTTTGGTTCCACACGGAGCCTTGTCTAACTCGGTCAGACTAGGCAAAGACCACAACCCTGCTCGCTGTGTTCGTGAGGAGAAGAATCCAGAAGTTCAACAGGGACATCCTAACCCTCTGAGGTTCCTCTTATGCCTTTCCTGTTTGCATGATATATCTCGGAGTGAACCCCAAAATGATTTCTCCTACTTACTCTATACCAGGTTCAAAATAGCAGGTTTGAGCCAGGTTAAAAAATTATCAAAGCCACCCAGAGTGAAAAAAAAAAAAAAGATCATCTTGATAGAAAGTAAATCCCCTATCATTTGAGGTCCATATGGAAGCTGGAGACCATTTGCTAGGGTTTTGAGAAAGAACTGGGGGTAGACTTACATGACCTATCAAGACCCTGGACCCAAGGTAGCCCCATGTCCTGACTCCCTGCTGCTACTTTTGTTAAAAGCTCTACTGGCTGGTTCTACCAACTACTTTTCTCAGCCTGGCCCATAGCACCAGCAGTGTGTGCCTGGAACAGTGTCGGTCACACTGGTTGGTGGACAAGTAAGAAGGTAGTAGTATTTGGAGGCCTATCCATTGAAAGGCCTTTGTAAACCCTTCAGTCATCAACAGACCTGGCCAATGGCTCTAGGCTAAAGCTACAAGAAGTGGGGACTCTTATAATCTCTGGTACTATCCAGCAGAAGCTTCTCTCTCTCTCTCTCTCTCTCTCTCTCAGCTATGCTGGGAACTCATGATTTTGCTCAAGGGCTTTGGGGGAGACGAGAAGGCCTTCTTTAAAGGACCAGATCTCCAGAGAGCTTCCAGTAGGATGCCCTGGGCATCTTCAGGGGACTCCCTAGACCAGCCAGACAGCAACTGCCTTCTCATGATGCTAACGGTGGGAATGTTTGGTGAGAGGCTGAGTCCAGATGGAATCTGCCATTTAGTCTGTGACATCCAGTAGATGCTGACTGACCTCTGCCCCGTCCTGTCTGGGTCTCAGGAACCTTTGAGGAAAACCAAATGTTCAGGCTTTGGACAGATGTCATCTGGGGGCGTCCAGCCTTCTTTGTGGGTTAAAAAAATCTGCATGGAATGTCTCACCCTAGTGGGACACTAAAGCAGGTCCATATGGAATGGTCCCTGCATTTATTAAAGAGGAGACTGTGGCCACACTTCCTACCTGAGAAGCTTGGATGTTCACATTTCCTTCTCTTAAGAGCTTCCAGACAACAGCCATGTCTTCACTGGTCTCGGCAGCAGCCAAGGGGGTGATCATCACGGCAGTGTAGCCAGCCTGGTTCTGATGGTCCACATCGCAGAGGCCTGCAAGAGTAGCAGAGTGCTATCGGAAGGGTGCCCAAGGTACCAGGGGCCAGTTCACAGGACACTGCCTGCTGGTCTAAAGGCCACTCGCAAAGTAGAGGGAGTCCTTCCCACAGGAGTGGAGTTAGTGTTTGATGGTTCAGCAGCCTTTACAACGGGCTTTAGGATACCAGAGTTGATGGCAGCACTAGTCACAAGAGGCAATGGCTGGAAACAGCCCAAGTGGGCCATCAGCGGATGCACGCTAAAGTGCAGCGCATCCACCAATGGGATGTTATCCAGCCACTGAGAGAGGGAAGTACCCGGACATGCCACCACCTGGGGGAACCCCGAAGGCAGGATGCTGACTGAAATCCCTCAGCCACCAAAGGAAGGCTCCATGGGATGTGGTCCCACTTACAGGAAATCCCTAGCGGGGCAGATGCCTAGAGGTTAAAAGCAGTTCCCAGCGGTTGGGAGATGGGGGTGGGTGGGAATTATTGCTAACGGGGTACTGTGTTTTTGCTTGAGGCAATGTAATGTTGTTTGAAAATGGATAGGGGTGATGGTGGCACAACATGGTAAGTAAAATTCAGGCCCTGGATTATACACTTAAAATGACTATGATGGCAGGCTTTCTGGAAAAAGGGGGAAACCACTGGCTTCCTTTCTTTGTAACCTTTATGAAAAACAAAAAAACAAACAACCACACACACAGAAAAGAAAGCCCACCACCCAATCTGACACCACCACACTGAGGCAAAACCCTAAGGGGGTGCAACAGAACAGTGAGGGGAACAGAGCAAGAAGTCCCGAGGGAGTACCAAAAATAGACTTTGGGGCTAGGGCGTGGCACCCCATCAGACTCTACTGGAAAACACTCTGGAAGGTCAACAAACAGACCTTGAACTATTTACAGGCTTTTCTTTTTTTGTCATTGGGTTTTTGCTGTTGTTATTTTGTTTTCTTTTGTCGCTTTGTTTTGCTCTGTCTTGTTTTTGTGCATATTATTATCTCTGCATGTTTATCTAGATAAGATAGGCTGGATAAACAATCTGGAGGAGAAAACAACAGGACTAACCGGGGTGGGGGGAATATGGGAGAGGGGAAGGTGGGGGAAAGGATATGATGTTAACAAACTCAAGGACAAGGAAACAGCAAGTGATCCAAAATCCGTGGTGAGGAGGGTATAAGAGGCCTGGTAGGACTTGATCAAGGGCAATGTAACTGAGAGGAATTACTGAAACCCACATGAAGGCTGAGCATCATAGTGGGACAAGAGGAAAGTAAAAGGAAATAAAGGCAAGAACTAGGAGGCAAAGCACATTTATAGAGGTTTAAATACAGGCATGTACATATATAAATATATTTTTATATGATGATGGGGAAATAGATCTATGTGCATATATTTATAGGTTTAGTATTAAGGTAGCAGATGGACATTGGGCCTCCACTCAAGTAGTCCCTCAATGTGAAAACACTTTGTTCTATTTAAACTGGCATTCCATGATGCTCACCTTCCCGACACAATTGTTGAAGACAAAGAGGGTTCATAAGCAAATGTGGTGAAGAAAGCTGATGGTGCCTGGCTATCAAAAGGGTTCTTAAAGGTTTGGTTGATAAACAAGCGGCCATCCAGCTGATAAGCAACAAATCCCACATGGAAGAAGCACACCAGCCTGGGTGATCACGGGGTGTCGAAGGGATCAAGTACCAGGCATCAAAGAACAAAAAAAATCATATCATTGTGAATGAGGGGGAGTGCAGAGGGGGGACCCTAAGCCCATCTGTAGGCCACTGGACAGCCCCTTACAGAAGGGTTGTAGGGAGGAGATGAGCCAGTCAGTGGGCAGTGTAGCAATGAAGAAACATACAACTTTCCTCTAGCTCTTTAATGATTCCTCTGCTCCCCCCTGCCCCATCATGATCCCAATTCTACCTTACAAGTCTGGCTAGACCAGAGGATGTACACTGGTTTAGATAGGAACTGGAAACACAGAGAATCCAGGACAGATGATCCCCTCAGGACCAGTGGTGAGAGTGGCAATACCGGGAGGGTGGAGGGAGGGTGGGGTAGAAAGGGGGAACTGATTACAAGGATCTATCTATAACCCCCTCCCTGGGGGATGGACAACAGAAAAGTGGGTGAAGGGAGACGTCGGACAGTGTAAGACACGACAAAATAATAATAAATTACAAATTACCAAGGGTTCATGAGGGAGGGGGGACTGGGGAGGGGGGGGGAAAGAGGAGCTGATACCAAGGGCTCAAGCAGAAAGCAAATGTTTTGAGAATGATGAGGGCAACAAATGTACAAATGTGCTTGACACAATGGATGGATGGATGGATTGTGATAAGAGTTGGACGAGCCCCCGGTAAAATGATTTTTAAAAAATCAATTAGTGACAGCCACGAGGTTCAATGACTACGTTTTCCGAGCGCATAAGGCATTATTCTCATGTTGCAGATAAGGAACTGATGCTCAGGGAAGTGACAAGAACTGCCTGGATGAAGGTGAGGTGTCAACTGGACCCACATCTGTCCAGTCCTAAAACACTTACTCATCTTACCACGCCCACAGAAGTGTGCCGGAGGGACACACTCTCGCTGTCTAGAATCCCTAGCTGGCCCAATGAAGGCTGGCAGCTCGAGTCACCCAGAGGCACGTCAGAACAAAGGCCTGGCAATCTACTTCGAGAAAAATGGTCATGGAACACCCTAATATCAATAATATTAATACCAATATTACCAGTATCACAAGAGTACTGTAAAGAATAAATGACATAAGAAAGCAAAATGGTCTAGGCCAGTGCCTGGAACACATGAGAACTTCAGAACATGGAAGAACATCCCTGGTTGGAAAAAAGTATAATACCACATTTGCCCTTCACAGAAGGGTCCTGGCTGAGCAGATGGAGATGGAACCATTTCTGACCTGTGTCCAGCAGCAGCTTCACGACGGGGAAGTTGGAATGGGACACGCTATAGTGAAGGGCCGTGTTCCCGTTGCCATCAGCCAAGTTGACCAGCAGCTTTAGGAAGTGGGGAGAGTGGGGCTGGATCCCGTGGAGGTAGGCGGCCACCATAGCAGGGCTAGATGACTTCCGGCTGGAGACGCGGAACCACTCTTGACTGATGGTATTCAAGCTTTGCTTCTGAAACACCAGAAGGTTTCAATGTCAAGAGGTTACCTGGCCTGGAAGACGCTGGCTAGGATGCTGGTTTACATTCGGAAGAGTCATCTTGGGATGCACCTGTCTTTATTTCTTCTGCTCCTTCCAACTCTCCATGTGATTTATTCTTGCCAAGTTCAGAGCTGATGGGACTGAATATGTAACAACTCACTTTATACCTATGTGATCAACCCCCGGCCCCAGGTAAAGTAGAAAGAGATGAAGGAGGACTAAGAGGGCAACACAAGTATTAAGAACTCCACTAGCTGTCAGTGTGAGACGACTACAGGCTCAGATGGCATCCCGATGTGCACAGGATGGCCTCCTGTGCACAAGACCTCCTCTTTCATGATCATAGTGCCAGCCCATCTTTGTCTTGCCCCAGACGCTTGTGTATTTTTAAGACATAGCTGGAAAGTCACAGCATTTAACCAATGGGGAAAATGCAAGCTCAAAGCCAAGACAAGGAATATCCCCAATGCATATTTAAATTATTTTCGACTTTCAAGGTTTGCTAGGGCCATCAGAGTAAATGGTTAAACAAACTGGAACAGGAGACCACCGGTGCTCCCCCTCCTCCCACTGCCAATCATTTCCTACAGGAACCATGCACGAGGATAATACCAGAGCCAGTGACATCATATTGTGGGTGATATGGCCTAAGTGCTTAAAAGAGTGTGGGTCTGGATTAAAAGCAGTGACGGGGTATGCTAGGAAGATGGGCACACCCCTTTGGATGGGAGGAAACCTGTTTTTATACTGGAAAGAGCACTGGATTTGGAGTCACAAAACCAACGTGGCCAGGGTTGGAGTCTGGCTCTTCTGTGTGACCGTTGAAGTCGAGTCAGCTTTCTGCACCTTGCTGTGTCATCTATAAGATGAGGCTAGAAGCCATAGAAGGCTTCCTTGCTCCTATCACTCTGCAGAGTAAGCGCCTTCTGCAAGAACACTTTATCCCCGAGGGAAGTACTCGGGGATCCTGTGCTCTGGTCTTAACAAGGGTGCGGTACAAGCCTTCTGCTACATGTAGTCTGACTATTTTTCTGAGGGCAGGGAATGATCTTTTGTGGCTGAAACACTTTTACCATGAACATTTCAAAAATTCAAAAGATTCTGGAAAGAAGATGCTAATATGAAGGAACATATTGGTGATTTTCAGACGATGCGCTGAGAACTAAGTTCTGCAATTCGTTTCAGAACCAGTAACGGGAGTTTCAGTCAACATCTATATTGTGTAGTGTTTCTTTAACAATCTGGGGTCAAATTATTTGCCAACTCAGCCAAGATGTTGATAAAGAAGTGAAAATGGGTTGGGCATTCAATAAACCCTAATAAACTGATTTAGGGGCTGGGGGTAGCTCCTGGGACCCTCCAGTAAGCAGAGAATATGGGTTTCAAGACCAAAGGGTGTTACACATTGGGCCATACCAGCCACTCTCACAACTTGGGACACTGTGTCAGAGCCAGTATTTCTTGATTAAAAGTCCAGCCCGATGGTATGAGGCACAAGTCCCTCAGAGCATGGAGGTGCTAAGGAGCCAACAACTGTATTTCCTTGTTTCTAGTCCCTTGACCCCAGGCACACCACAAGAACATGAGTGAGGACCACAGAATGAAACAGGCCGGAGAGACAGCCTGCCCGCCCTTTCATGTTCTCTAAGGGGGACACAGAGGTCCTCAGAGGTGAACCAGCTTGTCCACTGCCTCCCAGACGCTGGTTGTGAGACTGGAAGCCACATCTCCTTTGCCGCCTGCGCTTTCCACACGACTCAGAGTTCTCTGGAGCCATGAGGCCATTCTGAGCTTCAGCCACAAACAGCATTTTACGACAAGACCTTCAGGGGTGCGATGCCAAGGAATCCTCAGGAAGTGTCTCTCTGCACCTGGTCGGTTCAGCAGAATCAATCACCTCAGGCAGCAGCTTGTAAGGCAGACACACACACACACAGACACACACACACACACCCCAGAGGACGAACTGTTTAAACAGGACCGAGATCTCACATGACAGTGAAAACTCAGAATACCAAGAGTCTGTCGGTGGTGGCCCCAATTTCTGGCAAATGTTGGCTCAGTGCCCGGCAGGCCTTCAGGAATTCTTCAGAGGGTTTATATCTAGAGAAAAACAAAAAGCATACATATGTAAACACGCGCCAGTCTCCGCGTGGAGGAAAAGATTTTTCTTCTTCTCTCCCTCTCTCCCTGTGTTGCATTTCACTTTCCTCTTTTATTCCCCAGAAGCAAGGGCTCTAACTGGTCATCTGTCCAACAGCAGGGCCCTTCCTTGGACTCGGGGCTGGACACCGGAACGCGACAAGACGTGGCTTCTGAACTCTTCCGGAGCGTGAGTGAAATACATTGTTCTCCCACCTGCCGTTTCCTGAGGGTGGGGGCAGATCACTAAACCAGTCTGGGAGACACTGGCCTATGCTGCAATTCAGGACACGCTGGGAGAGGGGACTTTTCGTAATGACTTTGAATTAGAAAGCGTTCTGCATGGGTGACTTGAAAAATCCAAAGGAGCTAGTGCACACCAGGAAATTTATTCAGGCCATTCTCCCATGAAGGGTGCTCCCTGCCCATGCTAACAGAATCAATAAAATGAGAATCGACTGAACTGGGTGCTCGCATGAGACACTCCTTTTGTGCCCGTGTAAGGGCAGAAGTCTCAACATCCAGAGGGAGGCCCGAGCTGGGACGTCATGGGCCCCCGATCCACGCTCCACGTGACGTCTCTCCATGTGGAAGCAGCCCTGCACATCTGCCTGACAATTAGTCAGGACAGGTCATTAAATCAGTGTACAGTGGCTGGCATGTCATGCGGACTCGCGTCAAGGATAAATGAGTGGCCAGATGGAGAAATGAGTGACCGAGAGGGTGAATGAAAGCCCTGGTCCTTTCTCAGAGGAACCCGTGCTTCGTCTGCACCCATCTGACTCACCTCTCCGCCTTGGGGAGGGGGGCGTCTTCCCCAGGCCGACAGTCCTGGTCTGCACCGCAGGTGTGCTCGGGGACGCCCTGCCTGGCCTCGCACCTGGGTTGGGTGTCTTTGGCCCGCCTGTGCTCAGGGCCGTTGGATTTCTTTTCAGCTTCGCTGTCCGACAGGTCTTCGGGGGAGCTGTCCTCACCGCTGGTCTCCTCGCTGGACGTGGTCTCATAGCTGGGGGAGGAGACAAAGGTCACTCACTGTGACCATCAGGCCCAACGCCTGTGTCAACCCTCAGGAGAGCAAGGTGACCGCCAAGAACACTCCCTTGCCTGCCTGTCACATCTGCAGGCTGGGGAGAGGGGTTCCTCCTTGGTGTCAAAGAAGTTTGAAGGCCGTTGATGCTGGAGGCCGTTTGGGGAGAAAAGACGGTGAAATAAACTTTCTAGCAAGCACAGACAACCCAAGGTTCACAGGGAGGCATCTGCTTGGGGGTCCTGATGCTTGGCCCAAGAAGCAGGTCAAAGGTCAGTGAGCACACCCTGCGGCTTTTGCGCCAGCTCTTTGAACCGCCTGACCTTAGGTGACTGGAAAGCCTGCCGTTAGCCCCCTGCTGGAGCCCAGCTTTCACCGACCAGGGAGGAATCCACCTGCCGCTCCTCTCCTCGCAGCAGGGATTCCATATCACAGTGAGTGGTGGAGAGAGCTGAGCACCAGCCTCTGCCTTTATCATGTGGAACAAAATAAGAGCATGGGTCAAACTGTGGGTCTCCACTCCCTTCACTGTTCCACAAACTCAATTAAAAGTGACTACTGGGGTGACACATCAGAAGTCACCAAGAAAATTCTGAATGACGAATCGATCTGTCTGTTGATGGTGAGCAGAAGAAGCCTGCAAAGGGGTGAGGGGTGGTGGTGCTTGTATTAAGATGAGTCTTTCAGTTCTGGGGCTGCCAACCGTGGTTGGCAGTTCGAAACCACCGTGGGTTCCATGAGAAAGATGAGGCTTTGTACTTCAATAAAGTTATAATCTTGGAAACCCACTAGGGCAGTTCTACCCTGTCCTATAGGGTCACTTGGAGTCAGCATCCACTCGAAGGCAGTGAGCCTGCTGTGGGGTTTGGAGGGCCATTGAACACAGCCATGGACGCCAAGGACCATGGCCTCCCCTGAGCCTTCAACAGCCTTTTCTCTGAATGGTGCCCAGTATAAGGCCTTATGCCCACTGGGTTTGCAAATCCCGTCTACTCCCTTGCATGTACGGTCTCGTATCCTCTTGCTTAAGTCCCAGATATGCCTTCCGCCAGTGTGTGGACAATCTGTGACTTTATGAGTAAGTACAAGGTGGAGGGCGCATTATAATTAGCAAGTAATGTTTCTCTTAGAAGTGGGTCAAATACAACTGCACCCGAAAGTTCATTCATTCAACAGACATTGACATAGCACATGCTTCTATGCCAGTACTGTTCTCAATGCTATGCAAGAGGCCCTGCCCCTGTTGCTGCTGTCTGGGGCTAGGAGTCAGTGCTTGACGCACAATAACCCCACGTGACAGAAGGGATCCGCCTCCTAGGCTGTAGTTTCTGGGGAGATCTGTGGGTCTCTTTCCCACGTAACCACCGAGGGGTTCAAACCTCCAACCTTTTGGCTAGCAGTCACCTGAGCACTTACCCACGGTGCCCCAGGGGCTCTTTCCCATGCCCTAATGGAATGTATTTTCTAGCAAGGGCAGGTAGAAAAGAAATATGTAAACAGACAATTATACATATTACCGCGCCAGGAACAGCGATGAGAGCCATAAGGACAGTGAATGAGACGAGAATGGGCAGTGGGATCGTGTGGGAGGAAGCGCTGCCTTAATTAGAGCAGACAGACTCTCTCAACCTGAGCTGCCCCTCAGCATCACCTGGGCTTGCTTAAGACCCCGGTACGTGGACCACACGACAGACTAACTGGCTCCGATTCTCAGGATGGAGGCCCAGCATTAGCATTTTTCAAAGCTCCTCAGGTGTCCCCAGTGCGCAGCTAAGGATGAGAACACTGCGCTCGAGAGACAAATGAGGAGAAATGCCGGAAAACCACAAATCCAAACGCAGAGGCCCTGAAGGCAGGCAGGCAGGAGCCAGACAGAACCCCGATCTGGGCCTTTCCAGTTCGGGGACCCAGTGGGGCCAGGGAGAGGTTTAAGGAGAGGATATGTTGGCGTGAGGTGTTGAGATTGCACATTCTCCCTGAGGGGTGTAAACAGTATCCACTGGGCGACTCACTGAAAGGTTGTTGGCTCAAACCTGCCCAATGGCATCAATAAAGACTCCCAGGGATCTGCTTGTGTACGGATTAGACAACCAAGAACCCAGTGGAGCACGGCTCTCCTTTGTAAGCCATGGGCTCTCCAGCAGTTGATGGCAACCTGCTGGATCTCAAATTTGTTGCTGTTGGTAATGGTTGGTGTGTGAGGTGGTGAAAGGGCAAAAGGACACGGGCCAGCACTGGTGAAAGCAGGGAGATCAACTCTCCTGTGACATGTCACCATTGCCCAGTGTTTTCCTCACTGACTACCTGAGAGTGACGCACGACTTGTCTGTGCCCAGTGTCTTCCCAAACGAGGAGGGGCACCAACCTCCTCCTGTCCAGGCGAGGCGCCCCTCCTTTGGGCTCCGGACAGAACTTATCTCAGCATATTCTCATTTCATCTTTACTTCTCAGCTTATCTCTGCCTGCGTGCAAATGGCGAGCTGGAGACCGGGACACCATGATTTACTTGATTTTTAAAGTTAATTTTTTAAAGCCTCACCATTCTAGCACATTGCCAACATTTAATAAATGTTTGTTGAGTGAATGACTTAGACAAATATTCTGAATCCCAATGTTCACTTGTCTGGAATATATAGAAGGCTCTTCTTCTTCCCAAACACTTTGGTGTTTTGCAGTTAGGGAGAGAAAAGAGAGACATTGAGAGAATTATTTTTAAAAATTCAACAAATGAAGACTTGATATTAGTTTCAACATTGGGGTTCAGGTTAAATCCCTTCCTGAAAGGGCACGTGGGTCCCACAAACTCCCTGAAGTCACCTGGAATCCAGGCCCCTGGGGGGGCGGGGGCGGCAGGGGAACACCAGAGCTAAAACATAGGAAAAGCATAGGTTCCAACAGACCACAAGAGCTGGCCAGGAGCCAAACGCATGCAAACCCAAGACGGAGCTTTATGGCCAGTGAGGTTAGCTTCCCTGAGGAGAAACGAAAGCCAGATGCATCCCCCTGGGAAAGGGGCTAAGGAGACAGGGGGAGGGGAGCAAGGAAGGCGGTCTGAGCGTCACGAGCGATGCTTACCCACCGTTAACCCCAACAAAGTGAAGGTTCTTTTTGGTCCCATTACCTCCTGCACGGAAGCCATAGTCTTTCTTTTTCATTATGGATTTAAGGCTGGCCGACGGGGAGATCTCTAGGCAGACACAATAGGACAGGTTAGAAGGACCCTGGCCAGGCCCCAGAATATGCAGCACGACCCTGGCATCTTGCTTGGAAAGGGTACAGGCTGGAGGTGTGTGAGGAGGCAGAGAGGGGAAAGGAAGTCAGATGGTCTACATCTACCGTGAGCTTGTTGGTTCAAACCCACCAACAACTCCAAGGGAGGAAGACGAGGCTCTCTGCTCCCATAAAGATTTATGAAGGCTCAGAAACCCCATATAGAGTCATGGTGAGTTGGCATCAAATTGATGGCAGGCACTGGGCTTGGTTTTGGTTTGTGGTTTTAGGGGACCCTGCTTTGGGGTCAGTGCTGGGCAAAACTGTCTAGGAATGGCATTACTCTACTACGAATACTCTAGGTGAAGTCCCTGGCTAATGCCAATGATTCACACGCGAGGTTGCTAACTAAGGGGAGGTGGTGTGGGATGCCACTGAGTTGGTTCGAACCCCTGGTAACCACACTGCCAGGCCTGCGCAATCCTCACACCCGTCCCTGTGCTTGAACCCACTGCTGCAGCCCCTGTGCCAGTCCATCTCTTTGAGGGTCTTCCTCTCTCACTGCCCCTCCACTTTACCAGACCTGATGCCCTTGTCCAGGGACTGGCAGGAAGGAGGGGGCTAGAAGGACATGCTGATCCACTGTTGAACAGTCTGCTCCTGTAAACCCTTAGCAGCAGTTCTATCCGGACACAGAGGGCTCGCCACGAGCCAGAGTTCACTGCGTAGCCACTGGAGTTGGTGATGTGTGGCTGGCAGTGTACTCCCACAGATGTACTTGGTAGGGTGGGTACCACAGTTGTCCTCACTGCTGGAACCGTCAGGCTAAGGCGCTCGAGGCCATATGTAAATAGTAGCAGGAGTAGAACGTAAGGCTCCTGATCCTAGCCTAGCACCTTATTTTACTGGAGGGTGCCCAAGGTCCCTCCCCGCGCACATTTGTGATGTGGGGGAGGCACGGCACACAACTGAGGGAAAGCACAGATGTGTTTCGCTGTGCTCTGAAGCGCGGGGAGCGTTTTCCAGGGGGCAGACCTAGAACTAGCAGGGAAGAGGGAGGGCACCGTCGACTTCTGTGCGGAGGCAGGATGCAGACTCGCAAACTGCCTGTTGAGCAAAGCGAAATATGGTTCCACCTTATTCGTGAGTGGAGAGCGTCTGATCCCTTACAAGGGGAAGTACTAGTCACTCAAAGGCAGAGAGCCACATGTGGGGATCCTTCACTTCCACATGCATGCACGCATGCACACACACGTGTATACACACACACATACACACACACACACACACACACACTCTCAAAGGGAAAATCTTCAGATCTCAATATAATGTTCCTTCCAAACTTGGCTAGGGAAAACGTGTGCCGTGTGAGACCACAGAATGCAGGGTCCCAGGAAACAGTGAACGGAAGCCAATGAGAGTGCACAGAGCCGAGGCCATGCTGCCGCGCAGACGCTGCCTGGCGCAAAACTGTGGGTGGGCGTGGCTCAGTGGCTGCGTAGTTTGGTCAGAGGCAGGTGGGCTGGGCTTTGGCACCTAGGGGCCCTCCTCCCTGTCTGGTCTCGGTGTGCCCTTGGCTATCGCTAGGGCTGTGTGTGCTGGCTCTCCTAGTTCGGTCCCAATCCAAGAGCAAGAGCAAGAAAAAGGGGGTTGTCTCCCCTGTTGCCTTGATCGGTTTTAATTCCATGAGGTTCCTGCAGGGACCTGAATCTTTGTTAAAAATATACTCCTACCTTGAAAAAAAAAATTTTTCCCCCCTCCTCTGACTTGGCCTAAGAAGGAAGGAGCAATGGTTCCCTGTTTGGGGCACTAGTATTTACCCCTCGGTGGGGACGCAGGGGAGGGGGCCGGGGCTTCTGGAGCCGGGGCCTGGGCGGAGTAGGCTGACAGCAGCAGGTTGAGGGAGCTCAGCAGCTGGCTCTGGATGCTGCTCAGCTTGGACGCAGGCTGCCTGATGGCGCTGGCCAGCTCCGGGTAGCCGTGCTCCAGGCAATTCCACTGCTCTTGCAGGAGCTCCTGGATCTTCTTAACGTATTGCCCAATGGTGACATCGGTGGGCGAGCTTGGCGGCCTTTCCGGACACTCCTTTCCTGGGGGGCCTGGACTGGCCTCCTCGGTGGCAGCTGGAGGAGCCTGTTTGCTGCTGCTCCATGCACACCCTTCTGCATCACCAACCAGCCCCCGGGCTCCTCCCGGAGGGCCGCCCTCCTGCTCAGAATCTGCTTCTTCGATCCTGAGTTCAGTGGAGAGGCAGCTTTGTGAAGAGGCGGTGAAGTCCACCTCGGGTCCCTGGGGTCGTGACAGTTGGGGTGTTAGCACACATTCTGCTGGGCTCTGATCCCTCTGGTTGAGGCTGCCTTGCCCTAATATACCATTTCCCCCTTCTCTGGCCTCCCAGCTTTCAGATTCTGGCAAGCCCAGAAGACTGACCCCAATGCTCTTGTCACATGACTCCCTCATCAAGAGTCCGTGGAGAGGGTCAGTGTTCACCATGGCGTCGATGTGACCCTGAGTGTCTTTGGCATTCTCTTGGTTCAGCTTCGCTTCTAGTTGGGTTATCGTGCACTCCAGCTCTCGAATCAGCTGCTCCCTGGCCTTGATGTCCTCTTTTTGCTGTTGGAGGGCAGCTCTGGTCTGGGCCAGCTCCTCACTCCTGCCAGACAGTTCACCCTCAAGGGCTGTGACCTGCTGCTTCAGGCTGGAGATAGTACTGGGAGCTGCCCTGGCAAGGCCCAGGCTTTCCTCTGTTACCCGGATGCCAATGCTTCTCACAGCAACCTCTACGGGTGGCGGGGGTGGGATCTCGCTGATGTTGAGCTCAATGTCTTCTAGGGGGAGTTCATGTTCAGGGATGGGGGATGGTAGAGGCGGGGGGCTTGGTGTTGGAGAGTCAGGAGTGACCACCGCCTCTGCTTCTCTGGTTTCATGTTCCCCTTCTGCATCCTCTACAAGTGCATTCTGGGATAATGAAGGGCCTGGGAAAGAGAGGTGATCTGCAGCCTCCTCTTTACCCTCCTGGGGCTTAGCACCCTCCCAGACCCCCTCTGGAATCTGTGGCACCAAGTCTCCAACCTCTCTGACTCTGGGCTGGGCTGGTCCTTGAGGGCTGGAGTTGTGGAGATCTGCAAATCCGCCTGCAGGGCCAAAGGTGCCCTCGCAGAAACTGCCTTCACTGTGCAGTGGCGGGAGCGCAGGAGGGCGGGGCAGAGCTGAAGGGAGGCCGCCCTCCTCACAGGGGGCCTTGCTCTGCGGCAGCGTGGCTGGCATGCTGGACGCTCTCAAAAGCTGGGGCCGGCCACTCCCACAGAGGGGCTCAGCATCCTCAGGGGGAGCGGCCTCTGACGGCCTGGCAGCCTCGGCCAGCAGAATCTTCCTGGGGTAGCTCATCTCACTGCCACGGGCTGGGGCTGGGGACGAAGCGTCGGTGGGCAATGGCTGGGCTGGTTCCTCCACCCCAAACGACACCTTCCTCGGCATGGCCGGGGACCAGATTGGATGGGGAAGAGCAGCATGAGGCCGAGCCCCGCTGTCGGGAAGGCTGAAGTTTCGAGGCAAAGTACTAAACTTGGCCTGCTTGGCCCTTCGGTGGATAGGAATCCTTTTAATGGTGTTTCCTTTCTCGATGTCATCCACATACTTCAGGAAGTCCAGGTCCAGGTGGAAGCCATACGGGGTCTCCACAGAGTAAGGGTGACTCCTGGGTGGGCCCTTCTCTTCATCCGCCTGCGAGGGCTGCTCTTTAGCTGAGAGACAAGAGACATGTGGAAAAGCACAGAGTTAATAAACACTAGATGCAGGGGCCCTCAAACTTTTTAAACAGGGGGCCAGTTCACTGTCCTTCACACTCGTTGGAGGGTCAGACTATAGTTAAAAAAAAAAAAACTATGAACAAATTCCTATGCACACTGCACATATCTTATTTTGAAGTAAAAAAACAAACGGGGCAAAAACACCCGGCGGGCCAGATAAATGTCCTTGGCGGGCCGCATGTGGCCAGCGGGTCGTAGTTTGAGGACTCCTGAACTAGAGGGTAGGCAAGCTGACTAGCTCTGATTTTGAATGATCTCTATTATATAAGTCTTCTCCTAAATGGTACAGCCCCCACATCCTGCTGAGAAGTGGCGCACAGTCTTTTTGGCTCGGCTGAGAAACCACCTTTTCAAATCAATGTGTACTTAGACAAGGTGTGCAAGGAAAGAGGTAGAGCGAACAGCTTCTAATTGACAGTATCTCGTCTCAGTTACTGCTGTGGAATGCCCGCAGACCAGCAAAATAAAATGGATCTCAGGCTGTTCTCCTGGGTCTGAGTCATGTAATTGCTGAAGCGAAGTACCCAGGAATTTGCCAAATCAGGATACTAATTGCCAATTATGGATATGGAAGGTTTCACAGGTTGAGATACACAATTGTCTGAGCATCCTTTGCATTATTTCAACAGGTTCAGATAAATCTCGCTAAAGCCGGTGCTATCAATGAGCTATGCCTTCTCCATGTGAAGCCTCCAGGTTCATGAATAGCAGAGAAAATTGGAACAAGGAATCATGCGCAGCCCATGGTCTTTTCCACCCAACCTTGCCAAGGTAGGAGATAATCGCATTTCTCAAAGACTTGGTTTGATGTGAGAAGCATTGGCATCCAGGTAATGGAGGAAAGCCTGGGCCTTGCCAGGGCAGTAGTATCTCCAGCCCAAAGCAGCAGGTCACAGCCCTTAAGGGTGACATTTCTGGCAGGAGTGAGGAGCTGGCCCAGGCCAGAGCTGCCCTCCAACAGCAGAAGAAGACGTCAAGGCCAGGGAGCAGCTGAGCCTAGAGCACTGTCCAAAAGATGGTGAGGGAAGTGGGCCAATCGATGTGAAGAGGGACAAGGGTGTGCATCCTGCTGGAGATGTGCGGCTCAGGGCTTTTCAGGGGAGCCTGGACTATCTGGGGACATCTCCATGAGAATGCCCACCACTGCCCCAAGGCACCAACAATCTCCTTGCAGGCCCCGTTTGGGGACCCTGCAACGCTGAGAATACATGAATCCACAGAGATGTGTCTCTGAGTAGCTTCTTCTTGGGGTGAAATAGCCTTCACTCCTTCAATGTTTCTATGACAACCCTAATTACCACTGACATGCTGCTAAATAAGCTCTCAAAATGCCATGCACAAGAGAGAGCATTACTGGAGAGCAGAGGCGACGGATATAGAGACTGGAATCTGGTTCTAGCTCTGCCACATACCAGTTCTGTGGCCTTGGGGAAATTATTTAGCCTTACCATTTCTCATCATCTGTAAAATTGGAATAATCATAGGAATCTACCATTTAAAATTTTAAGCACCTAGGACACTACCTAGCATGTGAAGGGCATTCAATGTGTACTCCAAAGCCAAAAGAGGCACTACCATCAAGTCAATTCCAACTCACATTGGCCCTGAAAGATGGTGTAGAACAGCCTCTTTGGGTTCCCCAGACCTGGGCGCCCTGGCGTCAGTCCTGACTCATATCCACCCTATCTCCAAGAGAACAAAACACTGCCTGGTCCTGCACCATCCTCAAAATTATTGTTATGTTTGAGCCCATTTTGCAGCCATCATGTCCATCTATCTTATCGAAGGCCCTTGTCTTCTTCGCTGACCCTTACCAAGCATGACATCCTAGTAGTCTCTCTTGATAACATGTTCCAAATACCTTGAGCCAAATTTTCGTTATCTGTGCTTCTAAGGAACATTCTGGCTGTTACTTCTTCCAAGACACATTTTCTTCTGGCTTTCCATGGTACTTTCAATATTCTTCTCCAGCACCATAATTCAAATGTTTCCATTCTTTTCAGTATTCCTTATTCAATGATCCATGTTCACATGCATACGAGGCAACTGAAAATACCATGGCTTGAGTCAGGCACACCTTAGTCCTCAAAACAACATCCTTGCTTGTCAACACTTTAAAGAGGTCTTATGCATCAGAATTACTCAATGCAATGTGTCATATGATTTCTTGACTGCTGCTTCCATGAGCATTGGTTGTGGATCTACGCGAGACAAAATCCTTGCCAACTTCAATCTTTTCTCTATTTATCAAAATGTTACCTATTGGTCCAGTAGTGAGGATTTGGGGTTTCTTTACATTGAGTTGTAATCTAATTGATTTCAGTGACCAAGGTTGTGTCATCTGCATATCAAAAGTTAATAAGCTTTCCTCCCATCATAATACCACATTCTTTTTCATATAATCCATTTTCTCTGACGTTTGCTCAGCATACAGATCAAATAAGTATGGGGAAAGAACAAAACCCTGACACATCACTTTCCTGATTGTAAATCAGGCAGTATTTCCTTATTTGCTTCACACAATTGCCTCTTGATCCATTTAGAAATTCCACATAAGCATAATGAAGTATTCTGAAATGCCTCCCATTCTTCTCAAGTCTATCTGTAGTTTGTTATGATCCACACAATCAAATGCCTTGCCATAATCAATAAAACACAAATAAGCATTTTTCTGGTATTCTCTGCTTTCAGCCAAGATACACCTGACACTGGAAATGGTATCCCATATTCCATATCCTCTTCTGAATCTGGCCTGAGGCTCTGGCAGTTCCCTGCCAATGTACTGCTGTAACTGTTGTTGGATAATGTCCAGCAAAATTACACTTGCGTGTACTATCCATGATACTGTTCTATAATTTGAGCATTCTGTTGGGTCACCTTTCTTAGGAGTGGGTACAAAGATGGATCTCTTCCAGCCAGTTGGCCAAGCAGCTGTCCTCCAAATTTCCGGGCATAGACGAGTGAGTGCTTCCAGGGCTTCATCAGCTTGTTGAAACACTTCAATTGGTATTCCATCAATTCTTCGCACCTCTTTTTGAGCTAACGCCTTCAGTGCAGCTTGGGCTTTTTTCTTCAGCAGCATTGATTCTTGCTAGGTATTATAATTATTCTTTTCTTGAGAGCTGGACACACAGGGAACTAATGTTCCACGATGGAAATGGCCACCACGTGACTCAGTGCTGGGTACACAGAAGGACTGACGGACGGCTTGCAGAATCCTAGGAGCAAACACTACAAAAAGCATAGCAAAGCAACAATCTTACTCAACCACTGTTTATTGACACTACATGTCAGTTGCTAAGCTAGATCCTAAAGGCTCAGAGATAAAGTGGGGGCATCCACTGTCCTCAGATCATTTATGATCAAGAGGCGAGATGCTAACAGAGAAAGCGTTGTAGGATCAGATGGGAAACAAAAGGACAGTCTTCTTTCCTGTACTCCCCGCCCAGTTTCTTTAGAATTCTTTTCTTAGATTGAGAGGTTACTTCTGCCTTGGGAAGAAATGGAGGATGTCACAGAAGTGACACAGGAGCTGAGCATTAGAAGAATAAATGGGCATCTTCCAGGTGAGCACAGGGTGGAAGACATGGTGGCAATTTATCTCCACGAGGGCCGCCATCAATTCCTCCACACTCTAAATCCTGGCTGGCTTGGGTCTGCTGTGAGCAAAAGAACATGGCAGCAGGGATGCTGAGGATCTTCCAAGGTCAGCTCACAAGAAGCACTTGCTGATGAAGATCGCAGACCGTAGCCTTCAGCGTGGATTTCAATAAAGAAAACAAAAATTCTCAAACTGGACCATCACAAGAATGGAGTAAATACTGAAATTCCCAAGGACATCATTTTACTTGAATCAACACTCATTGAAGTAGCAGTCAAGAAATCAACCAAAATGAAAAAAGAAATCAACCAACATATTGTGTCAGGTAACTCTGCTGCACAAGACCTCTTTAAAGTGTTCGAGTAAATAAGTCACTTTCAAGACTAAGGTACATGTCTAATCCACGCCGTGATCTTTTCCGTTGCATCACATGCATGCGAAAGCTAGATAATGAAGCAGAAGATAGAAGAATTGATGCATTAGAATGAAGATGGAAGTGAAGAATATCGAAGGTACCATGAACTGCAAGAGACCAATCCGATCTGTCTTGGAAGAGGTACAGCCAGAACGCTCCTTAGAAGTGAGGCTGGCAAGACTTTGTCTCATTTACTTTGGACATGTTATCAGGAGAGACCAGTCCCTGGGGGAAGGATATCACGTGTGGAAAGAAAGCAGAGGACATCGAAAAAGAGGCAGACCCTCAGTAAGGCAGATCGATACAAGAGGCATGGATGCGGTGGCTGCCTCCACGGCGCAAACATCACGACAATTGCGAGGAAGGCGCAGGATCTGGCCGCGTTTCCTCTTGCTGCACAGAGGGTGGCTATGAGTTGGAGCAGACTTGATGGTACATAACAACAAGGATCGCTATGGAAAGCAGATCATCACACCTTTCACCTGTGGAGCCACTGGTGGGTTGGACTCACTGCGCTTTCAGTTAAAAGCTGAGCACGTCACCACGGGGCCACCATGGCTCCTTGTTCATGCCCAATACTCAATATAAAGTGGTTGTTTTAGGTGTGAAATTTTGGGTTGGTTTAGAATGCAGCAATAAATCACTACAACAGGAATTTCTGAGAGGTGTCAGAGAACGTACAATGGCCAGGAAGTATGAGATTGCATAATTTCAGGGTTCTCCAAAGGTAATTGATAATGGCTGGGACTTATGGGTGGCAGTATAGGGGGTGGTAAGAGAACGTAAGCTGGGAAATGCAATCAAGAGTTAGATCAAGAAGTAACTTAACTAGTTTGTCGTGCTAACAAGCTTAGGCTTCACTTTCTAGGTAGCAGGAGTCTAGAAGACTTTTGGGCGAGAGAGTGGCTTGGTCAAAGTATGATTTCAAAAGCAGTAGAGGATTAGTGGAAGGACAAATGAGAGGCTCCAAGACTAGTTGGGAAACTGCTGTCCCGCTCAAGGTGAAGGACGCTACAGGCAAGGGAAAGGGAAGGTTCAAATGATGGCACGACCAAACTTGGGCACATTTTCCCCTCAGGGTGGTGACAGACTGGGGTGGAACTCTTCTCACTTGGCTTCCAGGTCTCCTCTTCTTTTGATTGACATCACATGTTTGTCAGGTGCCCGCCCACCCCCCTCCTCCCCACGCTTAGGAATGTGCAAAGATGAACAAATAACTGAAAGAAAGCCAACCAGGCACATGAAGGCCGAATTTATGAACAGGGACCTGGGAGAGTCTATCAGTGAAGCCATGGGGCCTGTGGGCTCTTCTGTTCTAACAAGAGTAAGAAACACAATGAGGTATTAATGCTGACCCAAAGGATGAGCTTGTCAGGTTCCACAGACACCCATTTAGAGCAGACACCTGGGCCTCAGGCAGGCAAGGGGGTAAATACTCCTTACCTCCCCAAAAAACTCCAAAAGGCTCCCATTTGCCCACATTCTTTATCATCCTGGTCTCCGTCTGAGAGTTACACTGGCCACCTAAGTAAGTGGGGGCCATTTCTTTTGCAGCTAGCTGAACGTCAGTTTTCCATGTTGCCCTCTACTATCCTCCTAGGTCCACAGCCTTACACAGACAGGCCGAATCAGAGAGGAGATATTTGTCTAACGTTAAGCAGATTTATGACCTAGAAGGCAAACAATTCTCCTAAAGGAGAGGCTGCATTATTTATCTGCTTATTGCCTCAATTCCGTCGAAATGCACTGATTTACCCAGCGGCCTCTGGGAGCAAGTCCAGAGCACAAATACAATCATAGCATCAAATAAAATACAGCAAATTCAAAGGCAAAATCTTCCATGAGGGAGATGAGGGGAACCAAAGGAGATGGTGAGACTGAGCAGCTATTCAGAGTGACAGGTTTAACAGGGATTTTACTAAGCTAGCACTATGGGGCATGACAAGCACACACATGCGCACACATGTGCACATACACCATCTTGCTGCACTGCTGGCCACCCACCACTCTGCACCTCTTCTCTCCCTTCCAAGTGCATGAGGATAAATGGATCTGAATGCTGGGAGACTCACTCACATTAAGAGCCCTGGTGGCATAATGGTTATGCAATGGGCTGCTAACCACAAGGTCAGCAGTTCAAAACCATCAGCTGCTCTGTATATTCCTGTGAAGCAGCAGTTCTCAACCTGTGGGTCCCCACCCCTTTGGGGATTGAATGACCCTTTCACAGGGGTCGCCCGGTTCATAACAGTAGCAAAATTACAGTTAGGAAGTAGCAATGAAAATAATTTTATGTTGGGGGTCACCACCACATGAGGAACTGTATTAAAGGGTCGCAGCATTAGGAAGGTTGAGAAGCACGGCTCTAAAGAGTTATAGTCTTGGAAACCCACAGGGGCAGTTCTACGCTGTCATACACACTCTCGACAAGCTGGCATCCACTCGATGGCAGTGCATTTGGTTGTTGAGTTTCATTAATTCCATCTGGTGACAGGTATGCCGAAGTTCACAATCCCAGGCATTGGGCCAGGGCAGGCATTATTAGATGATCTGTCTCTGCCCCAAAAGAAGTTTAGATTCAGCAAACCAACACATGGCCAACGGGCTGCATTCGGATTCTGGCTCTGTCCTCTCCTGTGGGTGTGGCCCTGGGGAAAGGACTTGACTGCTGGGCTTCTGTTTACAGTCAAGGAGCCCTGGGGGGCTGTGGGGACAGCTGTGAACTGCAGCGCCCCCAGATCTACACCACTGGTGCGCCGCAGGAGAAAAACAGGGGTTTCTACTCCCATTAAGAATCCGTCTCAGCGCCAGACAGTGTAAGACATGACAAAATAATCATAATTTATAAATTATCAAGGGTTCGTGAGGGAGGGAGCCAGGGAGGGAGGGGAAAATGAGGAGCTGGTACCAAGGGCTCAAGTAGAAAGCAAATGTTTTGAGAATGATGATGGCAACAAATGTACAAATGTGCTTGACACAATGGATGGATGGATGGATTGTGATAAGAGTTGTACGAGCCTCCAATAAAATGATTTTAAAAGAGAATTAGTCTCAGAAACTCACAGCGGCAGTTCTCCCTTGTCCTACGGAGTCCCTATATGTTGGCATCAACTTGATTGCAGGGAGGGTTTTACCTAACTAAGAAAACATAACTTGTAGTGGAAAGAACATGTTTTGGGAATGATGAGGGCAGCAGATGTACACATGTGCTTGACACAACGGAGGTATGTATGGATTGTGATAAAAGTTTTAGAGCCCCCAATAAAATGATGTTTTAAAAACACACCCTAACTTGTGCAGAGTTGGGGTAACATCTAACTGGTGAAGTAGCCGTGGCTGTTATTCACAGTAAGGTTTGTAAAGAGCCTGGCACATAGTGGTTGCTCAGTGAAGTGATCTAATGGCCGGTGGGTCTGAGCTGGGCTGGGTGGGGTCGGGAGGATTGCCCGAGGACATGCTTTGGCCCTAGAATCTTTAACTCCATGTTAGGACTCCAGACTGCAGTGGACACAAGAGTTGACAAGAGAGTCAAGGGGAAGACAGAAATAAGATGTATGCGACTCTGAGGGTCTCGGAATGCTCCCTAGAGCGCTTGACCTCTGGGAAGGACCCACAGAGACCGCAACGTTTAGAAAGAGCTGCACCCAAACATGAGGAGAGACTCAAAGGGAGAGAAGTGTCCCACTCAAGGTCTTAGGAGACAAAACTGAATGTGGCCGATGAGGCAACCAATTAGAGGCACTTAAAGTGGGGCACTTAAGAGAAGTTCAAAAGCCGCTACTCAGTTGCTGAAAGAAATGGGGAAAACAGAAACCAGAGAGAAGTGGCCAACATATAAAGCCAGAAAGAAGCGGAATTAAATGAGTCTCTTGAAAATGCCAAGGCAGCAGAGACCACGGAGAGGGAGGGGTTCCCTGGGGGGCTGAGCAGGGACTGGCGAGGCAGGCAGGCAGGGCTGGCAGGCCCAGGGGGGCAGTAAGGAAATTAGCAGCGTTCTGGGGACCACTTCCTGTAAGGCAGTCAAAAGGCAGCTCCCTGGGGAGCGAGGCTGACTCTTGAAATGTGTGGTAACTGCATTTGGGAAAAGGGAGAGGCAGGGCTAGGAGCCAAAGCCTGGTGCCCCCCTGCCCCCCACCCCCACCCCCGCCCCCTTGTCCTGCACCAGGGCAGGGCCATGCGACTCACGGAGGATTTCAGTTTCCTGACTTGACGAGCTGGAAAGAGCACCTCATCAGAAATCAGGAGACGGGGTGGGGGTGGGGGTGGTCTCATTTATAATGTTCAGCGGGCTTCCTGGGGCAGGGGAAGGGGAACCATTAACCCGTTTATGGGGCTCTGGTTGCTATGCTATTAGTCGCCAAGGGGTCCATTTCTACTCATGGCAGCCATATGGCCAAGTGGAAATACCTCCCAGGGCTTCCTAGACTGTAATCTTTATGGGAGCAGACCACCAGGTCTTTTCTCCCCCGAGAGAGGGGGTTTCCAATCACCAGCCTTTAGTTGACAGCAGTGTTCACCCATGACGTTACCAGGGCTCCACTTACTCATTTCGTTGCCAGAGAACTAGAACTCAACAACGGTACTCCTGTGAGCTCACGGCATCCTTCACCCCCTCCTCAAGGCAGACGTGCCTGTGTAGAGGTGAGGCGAGCCAGAGCTCTGGCCAAAACAGGCGGCGCTCCCCACCCCCACTGGTTTGGGCTTAGCCTTCTGTCTGGCTTTGGCCGTAGGTAACGCAGTGTGGAGAATTGTTTGTACACTGGAGTTTGTTTATTCCTACTACTAATGCAACCTTCATGATACCACATAAATAAGCCCTCGTGGTGGTGCATTGAGCTGCTATAGAGAGGTCAGCAGTTCGAAACCACCAGCCATTCTTTATGTGACAGAGGAGGCTTTCTACTCTCGTAAAGAGTTAGCGTCTCAGAATCCCACAAGGGCAGTTCTACCCTGCCCTATAGGGTCACCAAGAGTTGGAATCAATTTGATGGCAGTGAGTATTTTCTGGCTGAGCTTGCTGCTTGATGAGAGGCATTTAGCCAAGTGATCAGCAATGCCCCAGGTGAGGTGAAGTCCACTGCCACACAGACAAGTATCGTCTTTCTAAACCATGCAGCCCCAGCCAAGCCACCCAAGAGATGCAAGCGTGTGACCAGCAAAGATCAGCCAACCTGACCCACAACTGGAATGAGGGCCCGGCCAATCCCTTCTGGTATGGGCCAACCTACAGAGTCCTTTGAGAAATATTTAATGTCTGTTATTTTAAGCTATTAAACTTGGGGGTACTTTGTTATACAACAGAGTTAACTGATATATGAGGGGATGGAAGCTCCGAGAAGCTCAATGACTTGTAGAGCAGGTAAGAAAAGAGGCTTTTAAAAAAAACAAAAACCATGTTGTGCCTTTTTCTCTAGACCCTGAGTTCTTCATCTATAAACAAGGAAAATGGGTATGTGGTTAGGAGAAAGCACTCGAAAATTTAAGTAAATCTAATATAGGGCTACATTCTCACTTTCTATCACCTTTTAAATTTTATATCTGAAATACTTGGGTTGGGCCTCTACCACCACCTATTTGAGGAATATCTTCTTGTAGTCTTTGCCTAGCCTATTTCCAGGGTTTAGGGTAACTACCCCTTTCCACCCTGAGTGCTCGCGTTAAAGCCAGGGGATAAAACACATACCATCTGTTTTCTCCATCTTAAAGAGAGCTGACCGTTCGTCTCTCGGGCACTTTTCATCCAAGGAGTCCGTGCAACTGGTCTGAAAATTCTGAAAGACAGAAAGATAGAGGAGTAGAGAGACTTATCAGAATTTGAACAAATACTGAGAAACACAGCCCAGGGAAAAGGGTCATCTTCTCTCCCTGTCTGCCAGAGGTGGCCCTCAGAGTGGGAGATTAAAAGCCTGCACACCCTCCTGGTGCCTAATTCTGGGTGTGTCTGCAGGGCATGGTAGACATGGCTGACACTCAAGGAGGCAGATGGTCCATCTCCTTCATTTGGCAGCTGAGGACACTGAGGCTCAGAAGTCCAGGCCTCTCGACAAATGAAACAAGAAAGAGCTGAGAGCGGACAACCATCACGGCGCTCTCTCCATAGGACTTAGAGCTGAAATGCATCTTGGTAGAAACCATGCTGGTAAGAGAATTATAATGTACTTTGTGAAAAGCTGGAATCAGAACTCTGATAACTGACAGGTGTCACTCCAATCAAACGGAAGACTAAGATGAGATCGTTGCCAGGCTTGCTGAGGACCCGATACCAAGAGGCAATTTCTAAGCACGGGCAGAACAAGGGCAAGTTCATCTCAGGTGGCCAGAAGACATCAGGGACGACCTAAGCAGAAAAGCTTCCTTGTTCTGAATCAGTGTACCTTGAGATTTGACTATAAATGTGCCCCACAGTTTTAATCCATTCCCAAGAGTCTTTCTTACAATGGTAAACAACCTAACTCCTGCCCCAATACAATAAATCACCCAGGATATTGGCATTTGATGATTGTATCTCCACACACATCTGAATGATAAATTACCTGTGACATTCCAGCAGGGGATGCAGAGTGGCTTTAGGAATTCCAATGTGCCTGACAATAAACTTCAGAAAAGTGGAAAAGTGACAAAAGGAAAGAATGGAGACAATGCAGGGAGAGGAGGTTGAGGGGTAGCCCCCAGCGAACTAAGATGAAAAAAAGGGAAGCCAATTAGTGAACTAGAGAAAAGGTCTGGAAAACATTAGGCGTGCTAATGAGAGAGAATGTAGAGAGACTGCCAAGCAGAAACTTTAGTATTACCTCTTGCTGTGAGTACAGAGACTGACTCCCAAGCTGTTGCCCTGCCTCCTGCCTGGGCTCCCCAGAACCATTTCCTAGATGTAGGTCTCATGAAGCTCCAAAGGCCAGGTGGAGCTTCATAAGCAGAGACGCTGCATGCAGAAGCCAGGTCAACCTACATCTTGCCCTCTTCTTTGAGGCAGCTTCAACCTAGCACAGCCAAAAACCCAAGCCTGTTGCTGTCCAGCTGATGAACTCATGGGGACTCGGTATGTTACGGAGAATTGCTTGAGCGAGGGGTTTTCTTGGCTGTAATCTCCAAGGATGCAGATCAGCAGGCCTTTCTTCTGTAGTGCCATAGGGGGAATTTTAACCACCAAACTTTTGATGAGTAGTGAGCTGCACATAGCTTGCATCACCGCACCAGGAACCTGGTGCAGAGGCATAGAGAGAAGAAGCGTCCTGCATTCTAAACAGCAAGTTCTTGCATTTGGTGGAGGGCCAGAGTTGCAGGAGAGGAGAAGTTAGGGACAAGGAGGGTGAGAGTATGGATGGTTTGGGAGACTGAATGTGATCCTTAAAGGGGCAGGCAGTGGAGATGCACCGGGTCGAACCCAGGACAAGTAAAGGAGAGTGGCTCTTGATCACAGCAGTGTTGTGAAGAGAAGCTTCCTGGGCTGAGGCTGTCAGGTATATAATGTGAGACAGGTCTTCTGCGGTGTCGAGGTGAGAAGACGCAAAGGGGTTAGGGACATGGCTGCGAGAGCAATTCTTCCTTCTTTCCTGATAATTCAGCTGTTGGCAGCTGGAAAATCAAAAGTCATTTCAAAGGCTCCTTTGAGCTGTGCTGCAATCCAAAGGGTGCGTTACATGCCTCCTGCATTGCATTAGAAATTGGTGCCAGGGTGCAGTCAGGGCCATAGGTCTCTTGCTTCAGGTTCCTGGTTCTTCTTCTCCTGGCTCTCCATCCTTCCTTTTCCTCCTTCTCATGGCCTCTGTCCTCAGCCCCTAGGCATGGTCCCACAGTCTGCATCTCCATCACCACAGCTCTGTCCCTCCATAGCATCCCTGAGCAAAGGGCAGAGCTTGGGGTACTTGAGGAACACAAATCTATCATCCAACCCTCACAACAACCCAAAGAAGATGTTGACTGTCCGCTCTTTTCATATCAGAGAACATTTAGAAGTCCAGCCAAGGTCACATAAAAAAGCAAGTACTGGGTGTGCTCTCGGGTCTAGTAGATGCCAAGTCTGCCCTCTCATTGAGCAAGAAGACTGAAGAAGGGGTCGGAGCAGGAGTTCTGGAGCCAGTATGCCTAGGTCCAAATCTCAGTTCCTCCAATTAACCCCACTATACCTCAATTCACTCATCTGTGAAATGGTGATAATAAGGACAGTATTTGTTTTACTGGGTCCTTGAAGTGATATATGAATATACCCAAAATAAGGCAGCTTGAATGGTTTCCAACACTCTCCGAGTGTCAACTGTTCCTTGGCCACTCATGCAGGCCCTGGCCTATCTGCTCAACATCCCTTCCCCTTCTGGCCTCCAGCTTCCCTGGGCTATTTCACTCATCCCCTAATCCCTACTCTTTCTTATCTTCTCACATCCTTCAAGACCCAGTTAATCCCACCTATCCTAAGAAGTGTTATTTCAAACCGAGTGAAATGACTTTTATAAAAATTACTCTTTTCTACAGGAAGTCACCAGATGAATTCCATTCCAAAATCTGTCTTTGAGTCAAATTTGTACAAAGTCAGAGCAGTTAGGTCCAGTTCCATCTAACGGCAGTTAGTCAACTGTTTTTCTCAATTTATAGTATACAGGATGCCTTTCTATGCATATCAAACATTAAAGAAACACTTGCCAATAGCTAAAATGGGTGTGTGTGAAATGTGGCACTGCCAGATAAACACTGGACAGTTAACTGTAAGGTCTGTGGTTCAAATCCACTAGCTGGTCCAAGGGAGAAGAATGAGGCTGTTTGCTCTTATAAAGATTTAGAACAGTTTTAATACAGTTCCTCGTGTTGTGGTGACCCCCTCAACCATAAAATTATTTTCATTGCTACTTCATAATTTTGTTATTATTATGAATCAGGCAACACCTGTGAAAGGGTCATTTGAGCCCCCCAAAGGGGTCACGACCCACAGGTTGAGAACGAGCTTCAGAAACCCTATGTACCTATCTAGAGTCACTATGTTTTGGAAACAACTTGATGGCAGTGAGTAATAACAATACTACTTTGGTGCACATTGCAAAGTACTGCCCATCAATTTTTAAATTGACACATTTAAAATTTTTTAGTAGGCTTTGAGTGGGCCTTGGTCCATAACTACACATTGGGTGTAAGTCAGCTATCTGTAACCTGGGGACTGCCTATAATTATTCTAAATGCTTTATGTGTGCCATTTAATTATTAATTATCGTTCATGCATTTCTTTTGTCTCACCAATTAAACTCAAGTACCTGGAGAAAAGGCTTCACCTCTTAAAATGGTACAGGGATGTTTCTTCCACAGTGATGGAAAGGGAAGTCGTTGGCAAATACCTGTCTGCCCTGTAAGGGAGCCCAGTCCACGAGTGCTCTGACTGACCCTGGTTCTCCTTGTGATGACAAATGTCCCTGCTCTAGTGAGTCTCTGTTTCCCACATACATGCAAAGCCTCTGGGCATGGAGAAAGAAAACTGCTCTCTCCTAAACCATCTTGAGCCATAAGAAAGACTGCTTGGTCTGTCTAAATAAGATAGGCTGGATGAACAATCTGGAGGAGAAAACAACGGGACCAACAGTTCTGGGGGGACATGGGAGAGGGGGAGGTGGGGGGTAAGGAAGTGGTGTTAACAAACCCAGGGACAAGGGAACAACAAGTGATCCAAATTGGTGATGAGGAGGGTGTGGGAGGCCTGGTAGGGCATGATCAAGGGGAATGTAACAAAGAGGAAGTGCTGAAACCCTGGTGGGGACTGAGAATGATAGTGGGACA